CGTCCCCGAGCCGCCGCCAGCCGGAGCTGCGAGCGCTGAAGCCATTCATGATTTTGGTGACGTTATTCCAGGAGGGGGCGAAGGTGGGGCGGGGCCTCTTGGGGCCAAGCCCCGCCCCCGCCCCTATAAATACGGCTTCCCGGGCTCTTTGTGGGGCCGGGAGCTCTGTGGAGGGCGGGAGCTCGGTCTTCTGTGCCGACGCGACGCCGCTGGCAGTGGGGCTGCCTCGGGAAGGCGGACCTGCGAACGCCCGGTGCCCGCACTCGGCCGCCTGCCGCGCCCGTCTGCGCCCGTGTCATCCTCACTCGGGACGCAGTGACCGTTGTTAAATCACAAGGGCGTGGGTCAACCTCCCTTAGGACTTCATGTCTGTATATTTCCCCCTTCACTGGTGAGTATCCTGCGCCCGCGGCGAGCGGCCGTGGCTGCGGGGCTGGTGCGCCTGCTCGTGCCGGTGGCGCGGGCGCCCGGCCCGAGCCCGTGCAGGAGTCAACGTCAAGGTTGCAAAGGTGGGGGTGGGGGGAGGTGGTGCTGAGAGCATCCAGACAAAGGAAGTGAACTCGGAACCCTCACTTAAAGTGATGGCCGGAGGGTGTGAATGTGGTGGTGGCGGTGGGGCAGAGCCAGGGGTCACGCCTGATCCCCCCTAAAGAAGCCCCCTATGCAGAGGGCTGCAGGAGGCGCGCGCCCTGCCTGACGCAGGGGGCTTCTGCTCTCTCCGGGCCCCTCCCCCTTTTCTTTTTGTTTGCATGCAAGTCTCGGCGTCGAGGCCGGCTGCCGCGGGGCTGAGCTGGTGCAGCCCCCGCTTTTGCCGAGCTCACGTAACCCAACTGAAGCCACAAGCAACAGGGCGCACGCTGCACCCTCTCTTCCCTGTCCATAGCCCCTAAAAGCCCCTAAAAGCCTCCTTTGTGGGGGCCGGAGCTGGGGGGAGCCGCCCTCGTGTGCACAGCTGGAAGGGACCCAGGCCGGGCGCGGGACAGCAGACGTTTGCCCCGGGCCGGGATCGGGGCTGGCAGGGATGCGGAGAGAGCCCCCTGTCTGCTGGGACTTGCGTGCCGCGCCGGCTGCTTCTTCCTTCCTGCGCTGGGGTAGAGGGGACCGGGGGGCGGGGGAAGGGGGGAGAAGGGTGCGAGCGCTGGCGGCCCTGGAGCGCGCTCTTTGGTGCGGGCGTGGGGATCCCGGCCCCGAGTCAGGGACAGGCACCCAGCGAGGGGAAAGCGGATTCAAGCCTCGTCGCAGTCCTACCTAGCCCACGAACCGGAAAGTTCATGCTTCTCGCTTCAACTTTCGGGTCCGCGCCACAGCCCCCGAACGAGGGCAGAGCGCCCCTATACCAGGCGAAGAGCCTGGGAGAGCCCTGCGAGCGCTCTTCTGGCCCATTTTTCTGGGGGTCGGCGGCAGCCTTTCCATGACAGGGAGGAGATCGCCTGTGGAGGAACTTGCTCAGAAGCCCAGCATATTCTCTTAGTATCTCTTCCCCCATCCTAGCCTGGCTCTGTTTAGAGAGGGGACTGAGCTCTCAGAACAAAGTGAAAATTCCCTCACCCCTGAAGCTTGTGTACACCTCTCCTTGTGGGCACCCTCGCACTCGTGGTTGTCTGAGCAGTTGGCAGCCTTATGGGTGAGTCTCTGAAGGCTGTTGGAGGCTTTGTGCTTCTGCACACTCAGAATTTGACAAAATGGGTGTTAGGGCCCATCAAGGATATTATCCCCTGAGAAATTGAGGTTTGGGATTATTTTATTCATTAGCACATCATAGGTTGCAATACGTTTTCCCAGACATTAGCCCTTAATGTAACCATGAAATATGCATTATTAGCATCAGAGTAACAGACAGGGCACCTGTAGCTCAGAGAGGTTTAGAACTTGTTCAAGATCACACAGCTCTTGAGATCATACAGCTCTTGAGTGGCAGAGCCTAAAACAGAAAACGCTTTTTGCTTCTGTTTCCAAATCCAATGCCATTTCTACTCTGTGCAGTAACCATAAAATGAAGAGGAGTCTGGTACCCCTATTTCCTTAGACACTGTCCCTAGAAAGCCTGCCTCTCCTTTTTTCTAAAACCCTGTACACAGGCACAATGGTGAAAATATTGGGTGTTCTGTAGTGGGTAACTGGATTTGGCATGTGTATTTGGCATTATGTGTGCAGGGTGCCGTTTGTGCCCAGAGCTTGTGCAAGGATAATGGAACATTTGTATCCTACTTAGAGAGTACAAAGCACTTGCATATCAGCCACTGGTGGGCCAGCTTGGCCCCTCTGGAAATTTCCTTTGCAATCAGAGTCCGGGTATCCTTAAGGCTTTTAATCCAGGGGATGTTTTTCAAGCTGTGAGCTTGCAGCTGCTGTGGCTGGGGCTAGAGAAGGGGGTTGGATGGCAGATGTGAAACTCGCAGAAAAGCTGACCCCTTGGGGCCTTAAGTGGGACATTTTGCCAAAAGGAGCATGAGAGAGACAGAGAAATTTAGAAAGGCAGCATGATTAGACCTTGTTTCTCTGAGGTTGACCTGTTATTGTTATTATGTAATAATAATATGCAGTTCCCCTTTAGAAAATTCATGTGAGAATTATTTTTATTCTTGTTCAGAGAGGTGAAGGGAGACCTGGTTGAATTGGTTTTTATACAGACAGATGGACTCAGCTACCTACTGTTTTGTTTTTTTCTGGTTCTGTCATATAAAAGAAAACCTAGGGTCTCTGCACCAGAGGAACTAGCATATAGGAGAGGAGGGAAGGGGAAGGTTTGCCAGAGGGTTTTGTGGACAATGGGCTTTGTGGCCAGGGCCCTGGTGCTGTGGGCTTGCAGGGCACTTCCTCGGGGTGTGAGCTTGTTTTTCTGCAAGTTCTGTTTTGAACAGCTCTCGTCCTGTCTCCAGACAGTGCCCTGATGTCACAGCGCAGACACACTGAGAACAGAAACGTGAAAGTGCGTGTGTTTGCTGACTTTTGCTCTGGGTTTCTCGGCAGCCCTGACTACCTGAGATCGGCCGAGATGACTGAGGTGATGATGAACACCCCATCCATGGAGGAGATTGGCCTCAATCCCCGAAAGGATGGCCTTTCCTATCAGGTGAGTTAAGTCCGGCATTACTGCTGGCTCTAGAGTCTGGTGGCTTTCTCTGGGGCTGGAGGCAGACTTGGTTTTGTGCCCTAGTGCCACTTGTAGGAGCTGTGTGACTTCGGGAAAGTCCTTTAATGCCAGTGAGCCTCAGTTTCTTCATCTGTAAAGTGGAGCAACAGTAATTCTAACCTCATAGAATTGTGGTGAAGATTCAACATGACGAGAAGATGTGTGTCAGGCATTCAACGTGCCAGGAACACATGAGGGTCCAGCAAACATTAGCCATTGTTATGAATTAGCCACCATGGCTCTGTGGATTCTCTCATTCACAGCAGCAAAGGAGGAAGTAATTTTTCCAGACAGTTCAGACAGACTTTCCCTTCCAGCTGTGCATGGCAGTAGCAGCATCGCCGTGAGGGGCAGCTTATGGAGAGGGATGGAGGGGTATATGGGTGCTGGATAGCTGTGTCCAAAGCTGCTTTCTTCCTCGGCAGCTGCTTCACAGTTAATACTCAAACAGCTTTGAGTGAAGAGATGTTTCCCCAAAAGGGAAGCTATCTCAGGGATGCTATTGGGGGAATCTAGCTTAGAGATGATCTTGTCTGGTAGATCCAAAATGCATAGGACCACAAAAAGGGACCCAGGTGACAGCTTTGGACTCTCAGCCAGTGCTACTTTTGGCTTGCCACGCTGCTGCTTCCCATTACCCCCAGCAGTGACAGAGCACCTTCAGTTCCTAGGCTGTTGAACTGGGGGGAAGGGAGGTGTCTGTTTTTAAGGGAACCCTGTGGGGCTAGGGAAATTGTGCAGGGCGGCTGGCCTGGGGAAGATGAAGGGGGCATGAACTGCATGCCCGCTGCGGGCCAGGCACGGTGCACATGGCACCTGCTCACTCACTACTATAGCTCCGTAGTGAGAAACCTCTCCCTGTTTCACAAATAAGGAAACAGGTTCATCCCGCATCGGTGACATGTGTTTCTCTGACCCTGGAGCCTTGCTCTTCTGATATATCGGATGTCTGCACCTTGGGGTGGTTCTGGCTAGGGTCTAGCCATACCCTGGCTGGTCATTCCTTAGAACTGTGCCAGGGGCATTTATTTGGTAAAGAAAGAAACAAATAGAAAACCAGGGTGGGTGCAGTGGGGGAGGGTGATCAAAAAGAACCAAGATGGAAGCTAAGATTGGGCAATGTAGCTTCAGACACACTTGGGAGGTTCAAGGAGGCCCCTTTGTTTTGTATCAATATAGTCAGGCCCCCTTCTGCTGCTGGAAATAAATATTCCATTAGCTTGAAGGGGCCCTGGGGTCAAGGGGTACCCTTTCCTGGGTTAGTTTCATACCTTCCTCCCCTAGAGTGGGTTTAAGGAAGACCACTGAGGGCCCCACAGCCTGGTGGGAGGTGCAGAAGTTTCCTAGCCCACCAGCTGGGGTGTTTTTGGATACCAGTTTCCAAGCCACTGAGTCAGATTGAATCTCTTTGTGGTTATAGGTGAGGTTTTCTTTCAGTTCTGGGTTTTAGATTTCCATCACAGAACTTTTCCAAACTCAGTCATCAGTACGTCTTGGGTGTGCTTTTTCTATTCTTCTTTTAGATATGTCACAAGAGAAAGGGCAGACCCCATTGGGCAGTTTTCTTAACGCTTTGAGTCCTTCGGGCCATCCTGCTGGATCTGAGGGTGAGGACAGGGGATGGTGGAGGAAGGGGCTGCCCAAGAAAATGGTCCTCAGATCTTCCCCTGTGGTGCGGGACTGGGGCCCAATTCTTATAGTCCCTCAGGAGATCTGTCCCTGCTACCTGGGTGGGGACCACTGCCCAGCTGCAAAATGTCTTACCTAGATCTTCAAAGCACTCTTGTCATGAGGAGAAAGGGGAGAGGTTGTAGTATTTAACCAAGCAATATTTATTGAGCACTTTCTGTGTGCATCCTGCTATGCTAG